TCAACGAAGGCGATAGTAATATTACAATATTATGATACAATTATGGAAAATGATCCAACTAATTACGATTATCCGCGCGTCATCGCGAGGACGTTAAAGAATAATGAGCGTCAATTTTATCGGAGGTTACTTTGACGCGAGGTTTTCTCCGCTGTCATAATCACCTCGGTTAATCGCACAATTTCGAGTTCGTGCTCGGACTGGCGAATATACCTGCTCGAGGAGTCGTTAACCCAATTGGTCGATCCTACGGAGCCTACTGTCCGTCCCAACTTTCACCAAAAAATGCGAGAGCGCTTTTATTCTCTCGAGGCCTGAAATCTCCGGGCGAAAATTAAGCCTGCGACCTCGATACTCCCGTCGCGTCAACTTGAATATGCATGCGAATTCCATCCTGTTTACAACCAGTATCTGGCAAGCTCAACCGTGGCGACCGATCGTCGCGAGTGACACAGATATTTTCTCAACCTCTAAAAGGCATCTACGGCCAAGTGAGTGCGCACATACACCGCGAACCTCTCCTTCCTTCTATCGTACAATTCCACCCCGGAGCTCGAAAACAAATCGTTGCGTAAAAGCGGAGTTAAAGTTATTGCCACGTGGAAATGATTAAATAGATAGTTGAAACAGCGCAGTCAGCAAGGTGCGGTCCCGTAACTCATTGTCAATGATTAAGACCCGACTTCGAGCTCGGGGGAAGTGTTAGGCCAGAGCCGTTTAGCCGTGTAGCGATCCGAAGCTTGTCGATTGAAAACAAATCATTGCGTAATTGAAATTATTCTCGCATTGACATTAGATCAGCATAATGGCTTCCGAGCCGGCAGTCAGTTTGAACTGAGTTCGAGAGTTCAGAACCGGTCTCTCCGTCACGCAGTAATTTCGCTTCGAGCTCGCGATTGCAAACATATCTGTTACGCAATCGCGAGCAAAGTTGTTTCCACCCAACATTGTTTACCTCCAATCGCGAAAATTCGCTAACGTTTGATTTTTTTTTAACGTTTGGAAATTTATATATCGTATTTATATATCTTCGATATCAAGATGCTAAAAAGATTCAGATTAATAATACGGATTTTCACCTGGGTGGTTGGGAATGGTAGAATGTCGATGATTTAAATGTCATACTAGCGTTACAAGTTATCGGGCTAAAAGTGTTGACTTGTCGTTCGCGCTGTTAGAAATAACCGTTTGCATAAGAACATTAGAAGTACATTAGGAAATTATAGTTTATATATACATGTAAAGCGTACGAAGTACGCGTGGCCTGTTTTCCTCAAACTTCCATAACGACTTTGCTGTGCATAAAAGTGAATAACCACGTCTAGCGATGCTCGCTCAAGTATCACGCCATTAGGATACTTGCGCTTGGAACTATTTATACAAGAGACGAGAGATAATGATAGAACGCACCGCACCGTGCAACCCGAGTTCTTCATTTAGCAATTTGTCGGCGATTAATTTAAAAAAAAAAATCATAATCTTCATATTAAAAAGATCACAATTATTCAAATTATTATAAAATTATTATAAAAATAATATGTATATAAGGTGTTCAGTAATAACTGTATTACCTTTCCTTGGTAGATAGAATTTTATATATATTGAATATATATATATTGAATAAAAAAGTTTCCTATCATTTTGCAATTTTTGTAATAATTAATGAGTTATTAGTTTTCAAAGATCTGTAAATGAGTATGCATCCGCGCAAAGGAACAGCTCACTCTCATAATTACTAGATGCAAGATAGTTGAAAGTGTAATCGAAAATGATAGAGCATCCATATAAATAAAATGTTCGGTAATAATCGTATCACCTCTCGTGGACAAGTAGAGCGGATTATATTAAAAAAAAAATCTTGTACCATTTTGCAATTTTCACAATAATTAGGGAGTTATCAAGTTATACAGATTTGCGATTGAGCGAATTCACGCAAAGGGATAGTTCAGCACATTCACGAATTCTGAGCGCACGATAAAGCAAGATGTTTGGATATAATCTACAAATAATAGCGCATCCGTTTGTAATGAATATATATATATTATTCTTATTATAATTGCAATAATTGTGATTTTTTTTAACATAAAAAGATTAAGATTTTCTCTTATATTAATTATCACACAGCCTCAAATCAAGATTTTGTCAGAATAAAGTAATTCTTAAAATAATTCTTTTAACGAGCAATTACGATCTAGTGCTCCAATGTGTACCTTTTTAATTCATTAAATTTAAATTATTGTCGCATTAACCTCAATCTCGTGGATGTATGTTGCACCATCGAAGTTAGATGTGCGTGAAGATACTCGATCAGACAATGAACGATCGACGACCTCATTGGCCGGTGATACTTAGCACCTGCAAATGCAACAGTCATGTGCACGTAATACGACAGACATTGATAGAATATTCACCCCGGATACTAACAGAGCACTAATGACACTCTTGATTTAATCACGCGCACGTATATATTTGTGTATATGTGTGTGTGTGCAAATGTATATTAATTATATCTTGTATCTAGCCTATATAAACTGCGAAGGAACGTCTAAATTATATCCGATACGCCGTTTAAGTAAATACACAATAATTCCCTCTTCCACCCTAATATAAATTAACTTTGATCTCGGTTCAATTTATCCTTTTCTAATTCACAGAATTATATAAAGTAAATGGAAAGTAAGTCTAAGCGAGATCAAAATTAATATACATTGATGAAAACGGAAGTCAATGGCGGGGATTGTTTCTAATCGTTAATTTATTCGACGATATTTTACGCGATTTTATTTCGATGCGAATTAGACGCATCGTTTACTATTTCACTAATTTCATTTCATATAGATTACTAGTTAATTCCATTAATATTTATTCTAATCGCTGTAAACGGCAGGATTATACGTACACGTGTTGGAAAAGTTACGTTCTACTTACGGATTACTTTGGCCATTCATTTTCGTGTAACGAAGGTATAAGGATCATTATCTTCCTTTTGCACAAAGCTCTAGCAACACGCGACTGCGAAATGCAACCTAATAAAGCCGCGTTATCGCCGCGTAACGCATCATGCTTGCTGTGCAGTACAAAAGTCGGCGTGCAACTATACCGGAATACGTTACGTTACGAATACGAGTTACAATTTGAATGCTGCACGGCGGTCATTTGCATGTCAAAGGAGAATACAGTCGATTATGCTACCCGGTGCGGACGCGCGGTAGCAATATGATCGCACGAAGGTCGTAACCAGAACACGCGGAATTACGCACACACGATTCTCAGTTCGAACGTGAACGGAACTCCCCCCCCCCCCCGCTGATTCGTGTCCAAATATAAACTCACGTGCCGGCATATGAAAATTGGGCCTCGTACGCCGGAACGGATGAATAAACCCGTGCAATTTTCGAGAAGTTCGACGACCGCTGAAATTGGATAATGAGCAATGCCGCGGTAAAATTGAAGAGAATCGTTCTTCGTTTGTTGAATTGTACGCAACAACACGATGACAATTACGTGGAAGAGTTACGACAATTCCAATAGAACTTAGGAAGAGTAAATAAAGCGTAAATGATGAGAGAAGCTTTAATTGACATGGTTAATTTAGATTTTGATGTAACATCTGTCTTTTGCTTAATTCCTAAAGATTCGCGATTATCTGTAATTAAGAGCGATGGTTATTAAATTATTTTGTAATGCGACCTTAATTACACAGTCATACAACGCGTAAAAGAAAATGTATCTTAAATTATAAAAAGTTTAATTTCTTGCGTTATTATCCTTCGTTTTACAAATACATATATGTAACAATAACTTAATATAAATCGATGAGGTGGTATTTGTAATTAGGACAGTTATTACGTGCTGTGCCTCTTAAATGCTATACCACAAAACAGGTGGCCCTATCACCGATACGAAATGATTGACATTCCTCGAATATTCACAACTGCAAACGTGACTCTGCGGTACATTCTTTCGCGAATCTTGTTATACGTAAAAATTCAATATAAATAAATTCAGCAAAGGTCAGCAGATCCGAAGTGTCCTTCAAAGTAGAAATGAATTCAAGAAAAGTAACAATACATTGTGCGGTACGATACTTTACAATTCCCGAGACTGATTGGTTATTTTTGCATCGATACACTTACGCCACTTTCTTTCCACTTTCCTTTCAATTTTTAAAATGAATTAGAAATTGCCTTCTTCTGTCAAGTAAAATTTAAATTTATGTGCGCAAATAATTTTCAAGAGTATTGTAAAATATGGTGAAACTTAATTTTTCTCAATTTTTATACGCTACAATGTGATATTGATCCGTAATGAAAGCAAGAATTCCGAACGCGTTTGTAAAAATCTTCAATGAAAAAAAAAAGCAATGAAGCAAACCCAGCATTAACTAATCGATAACAAGCCGTCATGAATTATGTATAGTAATTTTTCAAGTCCGAGTATGCCAGTGCAACATAAAAATTACGAAGATCGAAGAACGGTGCTAAGCCTATCTAGTATCATATTATGATTAATTCGAGGTGCTGTTAACGGCGTTGGGCAAAAATAGATAGATGATAAGGTAGACGGCAGATAAGTCGGAGTCGTTAACATTTTTTGCATTCTCATTGCCTGCATCGCGTTGACTCACCACTTTACGATAATAGTCACGTAGCCATGTAATTTTCCGTGCAAAATTAACGTTGTAATCTTTATGCATCTATAAAAAGTTCCTCTCCTCTCTTACTTACTTCTACTTAAACCGTGTAGTTTTCTGCTCAACGCAGTACGGATGTCGCCTATCAAATATTTCCCTCATTACATGGACATTTTTCATCAGTTACGCATATTGACAGCAATTATTATGCTCACAGACCTGGGAATTATATCAACACCTCTATGATTTCTTCATTTCTCAGCGGAACATAACGGATCGCGTTTTTTTCGTTCTATAAATACTACTAATGTATTTTTTCGTACAAAAACTTACGTGTATCGCGATACCATCTCCAACGTGGACTCACCTTTTCGTCGAGATTGTTCAGATCCGGCAGCTAAAAAGAAATAAAATGTTAGTAAAATAAAAAAATATAATATACAAATTTATAATCTAGTATTTTACACGAATATATAAATATCATTAAATTATTTTGAATCAACAAATTATTATTATATATATATATATATATATATATATATATATACTACTCAG